AGGTTTTATTCATAATGCATCTTATCCATCAATTTATTAATGCTGCCTTTACTGCATACAATATGTTCCAAATTTATTTCAATATTTTATGACTACTATATGAATTCCTCCTCAAACTGTAGGCGAAAATGTACTTTTCCTTAAACAGGATATACACATTGCACAGTTTTTGAACCTTGAATTCGAGTGTAGCGGTCACTAGATTAGAAAATTATTTGGCAATTGGGCAACTTTTTTAAAACCGAAAGCTATCCTGTCTTTGAGTATAAAATTTAAAGAAGGCGTAATTTTCTATCAAACAAGTACAACAAATAATTTTCTCGTGCGTGTTTTCCATAAAATACATTTGAATTTATAAAGGCAGTCAAACTAAGTCATAAAAGGACATACTACTTAAGTAGCCAGTTTTTACAATAGATGCGTTTTGCTAGTAGTCATGACGAAGCTCGTTAAAAAGCCCACATCCTATCATGACTGAGATGACTTCAGAATAGACTACAGGATAATCAGTATCACAAATTGAGTCAACGCCGATTAGCGAAAGAGTATCAGACTTTCGCATTTGCCGAAATGTTGCATGATCTTTGGCGTCTTCTGTACAACCAATGGGAAACAAGAACCGTATAAATTGCGAATTTGTACAAAATACGGAACGGCACAAAGAACTATGAATTTTCGAGATTAAAGCAAAACCAGGAGAGATAGGCTTTTCCGCATTTTGTAAGCCAGAAAGACACTGCATGTCGCGAACAAAACTAAAAGTAAACTAACTAAACTAAATACTAATTTAAACTAAAAGCTAGTAGAACTAAATGAAAACCTAACAAATAAACTTAGACAAATCCAAAATAACTCGACTAACATAAACAAATCAAACTAACTAAACTGAAAAGGGTAGGATAATGTCGTGGGGTCGTCTGGGGGAAGTGTGAAGCGCGCCACGCGGGCTAATATACACCTGATTTTCGGGGAGATGACGGCCGGGGCATGTCAGGGAATAAATTAGATCCCAATATTTTTGCTAAATAAAAAAGTTATGAGGGCAAGTTGGGTTGCGTACACAAACCTTGGGAGAAGACACTGAAATGAGCTTTAATATCATCGCTAACCCCCTCCCAACCAGCGACGAACGCGTATATGGAGGGGAGTGTGCCCAAGCCTCGGGCGAGGTAACTGAGAGATATTTTTCAGTCGTATCACCAACAACAACTAGGAAGAAGTTTAAAGAAGAAAAGAAGTGACGAGATTATGTAAATCACCCTACTTAAAAATTGTAAGTAAGCGATAATTCCCGTGGTTAGTTCAAAAGCCAACTTTTTCTTAGTTTATCGATTATAGCAATTACGGAATGCGTTTACCTTTGCAGAACCGCTCTGCAGTTCAATGTTATCAGCAAAACCAGCTGGATCGATGGGTGGCGTGTAGAAAACCGGAAGATTATAGGTAATTCAACCTACTGAAAGTTTGTGAGTAGTTTGTTATTATATATAGGAAAATATACGGACCCAAGACATAATCTCACCCTCAAAACTTAACTACAGCCAGTAAAACTAAATAATGAAATAAAAGTTACACTAAAACTAAGCTCAATAAACTATGAAGTAAACTAAAGCCAAAAATTAACCACATGATGCTAAAGAGTTCCGTGTGGGTAGTGCAATAGCTTATTAAATACTGTATGCATACAAAAGAAAGCAGGCTTACTTCACTGAAGTAAGAAGCTAGTAATTTATAGTAAAATACCGTGGTGATCTGCGAACTAAATACCCTTGTGGAGGTTTGTTTATTAGTGGAATATGATAAGAAGGCCAGACGCCCATCGTGGCAATTCTCATATCCCTGTCTCCTTGACCCACTTGAAAAATACCTCGGTAGCCTTGGTGGGATTTGGGCACCGGCCAGTGAGGGAGAGGCTCTAGCCAACGGAGCCACAGGGTGCCCTGTGGGAGCCACTATTTTAATCACACTGGGATCAAATTATCAATCCAGTCCATTGCTACGTATGGAAGCAACCCATTCTGATTAAAGTTAGCTGACTGCCCAATCAGGGTTGCCTAAGCAATCAATCTAGAATCGACCAGATGACTACCAGACGCCATCAAACCCAACACTGCTGGTATAGGCCTCGTAGCTCAGTTGTTTATACTAAATCTTTCCACTTGAAGTGCCTTGGAGCAGGCAAAATAACTAACCTGAGGTTGTCATAGCAATCCTCCTGCTGGGTTTACGCCATGCTTTTTTAAATATGCCGGCTTATTAATATTATTATTTTGACATCAACAGCTTTTTGCTCGTCGCTTGTAATTGAAGTATTTTTTTTATTATGTATCCATGCATTTTTATTCACCTCCTTACCAATAGGGAATTCAGAGGCGATCACTTATACTTCCCTTAAATGAACTGATACTGACAGTAAATATAAAACTCCAACCTGAATAATTCTTCCTTATTTAAAAAAATGATATTTAAAAAGTGTACCTAGCATTTCAAGACAAATGCCGCTGACTGCGTGTTATTTTCGGTCCATCCCTGGCCCTCTCTCTTTTTTAGTTCGGCAACATGGGGAATCGACTGCATGGGTTTTTCGAGCGCATGGGTTCCACTCGGCACCGCTCCCCTGTACCGAGGCCGTCCAGCGACTCTGATGATTCAGATCAACTGGAAGGCGACAACTTGGGCTACCACGGAAGACGTGAGAGCAGAGCGCCGCACAGAAAGTTTTCCAGACGGCATACTGTGGATACCGGGTAAGAGGCTTCGTTCTCTGCAGGCTAGCGTTCAAGGTCAAGGTCACCTAGTTAGGACTGAAAGCATGCATAAACAGCGGGATTGATATCAACAAATTTCGCGACAGCTTCTTAGCTGCTCCTTGTCGCTGCATAAGGAAGATAACGAGGACAGATAAAGCATTAATGAATTTCAAAGAATTACTGGCAATAGCAAGGAACGTAGGTAACTTTAAAAAATAATCAATAAGTCAACATAAGTCAACATATGAAAACGAACTGTCCTTTATTTATTATTTTTAAAACTGACCTAGGTTCCTTGCTGTTGCCAGTAATTCTCTGAAATTCACAACTGTTCTATGTGTCCTCGTTATCTCCCTTATGCAGCGACAAATAGCAGCTGAGAAGCTGTCGCGAAATTTGTTGATATCAATAAATTCTGCTGTTAATGCCTGCTTTCAGTTTTTACCGGGGTAAAAATGCTTCAAACCTAGGTAGAAGACCGTGACTGCCCGTTAGTTGATGTCATTGATCTGGTTGTTTTCGCGGCACGTAACGTTGAGAGAGAGATAAATGCTTTATTTTGAAGCTAATATCCACAGAGAGAAAGGGATAAAGTAAGGTGAGGCATCATATTAAAGGTCACAGAATACTCAAAGTTAAAGGTTTACGCGATATCCCCATCTGTTATGGAGACAGGTCGGCTTTCAACTTTCCCATTTCCCTTTCTTCACACGTGAGGTAGCGTGCTAGGAATGGGAGTACAGAGTGCTGATATGCTGATGTACGGCAAGAAATATAACGGAAGCCTCGGCACATTCTACGAGAAGACTTGGCAGCCATTAGTTCAGAGTGGAGAGGGTGAGCAACCTCACTAAGGATGCGATCAGCGAATCGCCTGACCATTTTAAAGTGTCGCTGTATTAAAAAAAACTATAGGAAATACCGGCAGCTGAAGAGAGCATTCGGAAGATACGTTTGATTGCCAATACAAGCGAGCAGGAGGTAATTGAGAAGAAGACGAATAAGCGGAACTTATAATGTATAAAAAGGTATATTCCTACATGTATTAAGGTTTCGTAAGATCTGCTTTTACCTTCACATTGGCGATACTATATGAGCAGTTTTGGTTACGTCCAAAATACTTGATGCGAAAAAACAAATGCGGTCAAAACGTTTTGTTACTGCGTTTTGGGGTAAAAAAACTTCTCAGTTTGGCAAAAAACTATTCCAAAAACTGAACTCGTCATATCCTTTGCACGGATGTCTGGGCATACTGTAAATAAATCTTAACGAAATCGAGCATACGGATAAGCGGGGAATTGGTAACTTCGATGGGATCGTCGAATCCTCCTCCGTCTGCTACATTGGACTTGCCGAAAAGATGGATCCAATAGATGCGATCTTGGTCTCCGGTTTCGATGCCACTAGAAACACCTTCAGGCAAGCAGATACTTATGTAACTGGCAAAGACGTAGGTGCTAGCTAGTAGCCCAGACATGTGTTGCACCAATGTTTCTGCTGCTGCTACTGCATGATACGGCAAAGAGGGGCTCGGCTCCTCAGTTGGCCCGTCCCCCAGCGTTTCCTAAGCGGTTTCTGGTATATGCTCTCCAAAAGTGATATGGATACTACGTACAGCATTGAGGACGCTTTTGATAAGGCCTAAGGAATTCTTGATTATATAACGTAGTGCAATGGGCCACCTCGGATAGATGGTCTCATCTGCTTGTCGTTGGCTGATGTCTATATATACGATTTAGAACAGATTTTCCAGTCCGCGTAATAATGACCACCCCCCACGAAAGTCTTGGTAGTCCATGGCTACTTGTAGCCTTAACGTGAGTTTTAGTTTTTGTTTAGCTTAGATGTTATGGGTAGTTTGGTTTCAGTTTAGTTGTGTGTCCTTTTTGGGCGACATGCGGTTGGTTTTTCCACTATTGTGAGTTTTAAAAACGGGAGAAAACAATCAACTTTCAGGGTTTTACTTTAATCTCTAAAATTAGATTTAGAGTCGACGTACGATTTTATCCAAATTGTGGGTCCTATTAGGCATTCATTGTTTCCTATCAGTTGTATTTCTCAGTTTAATTCCCGCGCGCAAAGATTAGGATATTTAAATTATTATTTACATTATTTTCTTCTTTCGTACACTGTACTTTTTTCCTGATATGCCCCACTCATTTAATCTTTATAAATACCAGTCCTGTTTTACAGAATGATTCGGTTTCGCGTGCTGTAGTGAGCCCGAAGCATAACTTTTACCGGCCAATGTTCATGCCTTCTGCCGGTTTTAGGCTGCTGGATGAGCTAAACGAAACTGACGGAGAAGGCGAGTCGGAACTCTCGGCGCTTTCTCGACGCTACCTCTTCGTCGGCAAGGACTATGGAAACTGGCTGTTGAAAGATGCGACCGAACTTGATCGACCTGCGGAAGGTTAGCTCACTATTATCGTTCAATTGCCCTCCGAGCTGGCTATTTACGCTTTGCTTAAAAATGTTTACAGCCGACCGCTGGCATGGGGGCCTAGGCTGTTTCAGTGGGCGTCTGAACAGCTGTCCCTCTCCTCCTGATATGTTTAACTCCTCGTTAAGTGTAGGTGGTGATCAGATGGTGTATGGTAGGGTGTATGACGCGGAACTCAGCTGACCGCTCAGCTAGGTGGTGGCCTGTTGGCCTGGCGGTGGAAGAGAGAGTGAAGTCGACCGTCGGCGCATTTTTTTCTTCACTATAAAAAATCTGATGCGCTTGAATCTATCGTGGTGCGCTAAAAGCCGTGGTTTGCAGGGTTGCCAACTGACGGGATAACTTGGACACCACAGTCGGCCCATTGTGTACCTTACTGATAACTGCGGGCCGAGAGTCAGGCTCAATGAATCCTTCTTACTGTGGCCTTTATGGCGCTTCCAGGTGGGAGCCTACGTAGCGAGGTGTTCTGTTGGTGCGCGTGTTAGGTGTTGGTCGCGTCAGCCGCCTGCGCCCTCCCCCATCTCCAGTCTTCTCGACTTTTGTCTCAACACCGGGTTCGGGTGTGGGAGTGGTCAGAGAGTCTACTTTCACTGTAATCCAGCTGCAGTCATTACGTTGCTTCAGCCAAATGAGGCTCGTGGTGGACATCGTTGAGAGCGACGGTAGAACTGTCCAGCCCAGGCTGGAGGACTTAGGATCCGTGCTGCTGTGACCATTCTTCACATTCTTTCTTAGAACCTCTGACAGGTGTTTTTGTTGTCCACAGAGCATGCTGGCACGCCTAGATGCAGGCTCGCGCCACGCCGGCCGCCAGCGCCTGATTCCTGCCCGATCAGGCTATGGCAGGTTATATTATTTTGTGTTGATGTGCGTAAAGATCCGAGATCCAGATGCCATATCGCGTTACTTGTTGTAACGGTGACAACTATGTGTGTCACCGTCTAATTACGCCGTTTGAATCCCCAAGGAAGAACACAATAAACAGGGCGTAAAAGCGGAGGTACAGAACCCGTAGTTGCTGTCTCGGGAGGTAGTGGCCGCTGGCGTCAGCCAGGGCCCAATATTGCCGTGGGGCGAAGCCCTGGCCT